TCAGTCTCGAATAACACCCCGCCCTTTCGGTTTGGGCTTCAGAATATGCTAGCTGCAACTATGCAGAAGGATAAAATCCCCCCACCCCACCCAATGAGACCACCTGTTTGCCATGGCTGGCAATGTAATGTCTGGTGACAGGATCCTTGTGGTTGAGGGCTTCAGGGGTCAAACTTAGATACTTCTGATTCCCAACACACCACTTACTTGGACTAGACCGGTGGTTGGAGAGGCCCAATCCGATCAATCGGCTGGTTGTGTCAAACCCTAATTTAAAGTAACCAAAATGGAGTGAAGAAAATTTGGTCATCATTCAAAAGTACCTCAGAAGATTTGAATTAGAAGGCAGCTGTAGAGTTAGTCAGTTTGGAAGGAAAGAACTATGAGATATCCAGACGTTTCACTAGTTTTTGGGTAGCAAAACCAAAGGGAAATGAATGATTCATGGCCTTCCTTCAAATATGAGTATACTGTTGTAGCCCTGTCTTACCAAGACAAATGGGTATTTCCATTAAATTGGGATTTCCCATTAAATTGAATTCCGTGGTGGGTGGGGAGCATGGACGGTGAAATAATAAACTTTTTCTGATGGATAAAAACAAACTCACCGTGGATACGGATTCTGAGAATGAAGAGAGGGGATCATTTCCAAGATTATAAATCTTGGAATCACTAGATGAAACCCCACTCATGGAATTATCTCCCTTCCTTATTGAAAAAAAATCTAAAAAAATGGCACAATTTTGGTTGAGGTAGATAAGGAAAGACAAGTGGATATTCTACATAAAATGATGTCATTTCAAAATAAAAATAATAAGGGCATACCCTCACAAAAAAAACTGAACTCCTCATGGGGTGTGGTCCAAGTAGGGAACTCTCTCTATGTACCACTAAAGAGATAAAAAAAAAATGAACTGAAAAAGCAGGGTGTCACAGATGTCAGAAGAGTGACAATTAAAAAGAATAATGAAAACATCCAGACTAACACTTGCATCCTGACATTCAATGTACCAACCATCCCCAAAAAGATAAAAAATAGGATATGAATCATAAAATTAACTTTCATTTTGATGGAATGTTGAAATCAACTTCAATGTTTTATAACCTGAACCATCAGTGACCCAATGGTAGTCTAGTCATAAATAAAAATAGCCTAACATCAGCCACAAACCAGAAAGATAAAACACAACACCTTCTGAAATAAGTACAACAAAATATACACATAAATATAACCCCAACTCACAATAGCCACAAGGAACTGCAAGCAATAGAAATTGAAAATCTTCAACACTGTAAAATAAAAATGTTAAAACAAAACAAACTTTTCTAGCAAATTAAACTATAATTCCAAATACTTAGATGTGTGAATACATGATCAGATGCAGGTGGTCATAATGTTTTGACTTGTAAGTTTATCTTTTTTTATATATTTATGAATAATTCTCTACAGACTTCGTAAAAAAAACTGGAATGCTCAATTTTGGACTTTATCCTGTAGTTGATTTATACAAGAGGAATTTTTTTTAAAAGTTATAAACCTTTCTGACATAATACCCTGGTGTTGCAGTGTTGTTAAAAAAGAAAAAAAAAAACTACTTTTTTCTCTTTCAATTGCTTGCTGAGTAAGAGTCCTTCTATTATGTGCTTAAAGAAATGTTAATCAATATTTTTTTTTTTTTTTTTTTTGCATATGGGAAAATCTCCATAGTGTAGCTGCAGGCAAGTACTTATACAAAACAATCCATTGCAGAAAGTGTCTTCCATGGACTTAGGAATATCAGAAGTGGACCATGTGTCAGTAAAAGAAGGTGGTCTGATCTGATGAATCTCACTGGCTCTGGAATGGGCACCAATATCCTTGGGAAGTAATAGCACTAGGATTGACAATGTGAAGGCAGAGTAATGGTTTGGCAAATATTGATTTCTATCATTCATTTGGAAAATACTTTGCCATATACCACCTATGTCAAAATTATTGAAGACCAGGTACACCAGTTCATGGAAACAGTCTTTTTTCAACAGGACAATACATCCTGTCACACTGCATGAATTGCACAGGAATTGTTTTAGAAACATGAATTGTCGTCCAGGCCACCAAACTCTACAAATCTCAATCCCATTGACCACTTAAAGGTAGAACTACCACCATGTAAATGTAGTTTAATGAGCTACTGCTAATATTCTGATCTCAGAAAAGAATGTTTAGTGGTCTTGAAAAGTCTGTGCCTGATCAGATAATAGGTCTTTTTTTTGTTTTTTCAAGAATATGGAAGACCAACACCTCATTAGACAGGTGGTCATAATGTTTTGGCTCATAAGTGTATCTGCTAAACAACAGTTACCATTCTCATAATTTCCATTCATATTTCTATTAATGTCAGCTATAAATAGTTGTATTATGCATAATTTCTCTGACAAAATTATTTTATAAATTGATATTTGACTAAATTCTGGTACAGTTTTTAGTGCTGTGTATTGTCAACAAGTTTTTTTTTGTTTAACATTAAATGTATTTTGTTGAAATTTAAAAATAAAAAATTAATACTGACTGATAAAATAAAAAGATTTTCAGATAGAATATTTTATATTTGAGTAAATTTTAAAGAAGCATAATTATGAAAAGTTAACTTTTGACTTTACATTTCTTCTGCAAATATTAAAAAGATTCTGTTGTACAAGCAGTATCAATTTTTGTGAGACTTTTACTCGCTCTTGATCATAAATGAGACTTGAAAAAATAAAGAAAAAATAATTTTGTTGTTTTTCTGTGTATTTTTGTATTTTGGCTTAGTTTTAACAAAACAATTTATTACAATTTTGATTTTAAATAATTTCATAAAAATACAGTATGATGGAAAATTTGTTATTTTGCTTCATTAAACATTTTCATGTATTTATTTTATTTTTGTGGTGTGCTTTTTTATTATTTAATGAAGACAAAAATATATCATAGATGGAAAATATATTTGGACAATAGGAATATAATTGTAGTAGTAGTATATACATTGCATGCTCGCAAAATGTTATTAAAAATAACATTGAAATGAATTGCAAACATTTAACTATAAAATAACTATTTTAGCTACAATTTCAACTGTGTTAATTTAGTTATTATCCATAATGTATTTTATTAGAATTGATGATAAAAGGAATTGTAATTTTTCTTTTTATTTTGTTTTAAGAACATATTTAGTCTATTTACTAATTTTTGGTAGTTACGCATTATCTAAGGATTTGCAGTATCTAAGGTTTAAAATGAATTTTTAAAAATGAAAAATCTCTCTTGAAGCTTTTATTTAGTTTTATGCTGATAGATTAAATTTAATATTTTCAATAAGCAGAATACTTTGCTGTATTTCAAACTAATTTAAATTGATTGGAAGTAGTTTTCAGTTTGAAATTGCTGAAATTTTAACATTTTTAGACACCTGTCATGTAATTATCTTTATTAAAAAATCTTCCAAAAATAAAATGTACTTTTCTGAAACCTTATTTGAGGAATATTAGCTGATTTAAAGTATAACTAATCTGATTTGAAATAAATTACTTGCATTTAAAATATCAGAGAAATACATTTTTAAACACAGCAGTAGCTGTTCATTTAAGCCATTGACATGTTTGACAGATTGATGTTTATAAAATGTTGTTCTATGAAGGCTTTAGGCATAAAAAATAATTGAATATAATGTGAGCACGTTTTTATATTTTATTTTTTAAGTACTCAGTAATCTTAAAAATTTAGGAAACTATTCTCCGTAATCTGTTTTATTGAATTTTAGATATTTAGGCTTATTTTCTGATGATTTGTTCTAAACTTTTTCATTTCGGTTTAGTAAATACAATTTTTATTTAATAATATTATCTAAAAGGGTTGAAATTAATACAGAATTTTAAAAGATTATTCTAATTAAAAATTTTTAAAAAATGTAAATAATTCTTGTAAAAATTCATTATTCATCAAAAAAAATTTTTTCTTAAGACAGTGCCCTTAATATATCTTATTTATAAAAGCAGTTAAAAGCTTTTCTAATTAAGTAATGTCTTAGATTTATTGCATTTTTTTTATTTTACAACTCGGAGCAGATTTTTGGTAAATGGTGTTTCTGTTTAACTGAACAAATTGATTTAAATTCTCCAAGGAGTCCTGCTTTTAACTAATAAAAATATGAAGGGGTTGAAAGTTTAATTTTTTGAAATTTCATAAAATTAAGTGGGGGTATTAAAAAAAATTAAAAAAATTTACCAAGAATTTCTCTAAAGTAATAATGTCATTCATTAATAAACCCTGAAAATTTCATTAAAATCTGAAAATTATTTGATTTTTGTAAGAATTTCCAGAACAATGTGTTTTATGACAAAAAAAAGATGCTAATATTTTCTATACTAATCTTTAACACCCTGCACGCAAAAAAAATAAGATTTTTAACCAAAATTTCGAACATGCTAGAAAGGATTAAATATTTTCATAAAATAATAAAAAAATACTTTGGTCTTTCATCTTAATAATAACAGATTTTTACAATAAAACTTTTTTCTTTTTTTTTTTTTTTTTTTTTTCTTCAAGTTTGGGGCCTTTTTTCATCATGGTATGCTCTTTTTTTCAGCAACTTAGTGGAAGTACCTAAACTTTTGGTATTCATATTTCACAATTGTTCATAATTTACAATTTTATTTATCGAAGAATTTTCTTTGGAAAAAGTAATGTGATATTAATGTTTAGAACATATTGGCTTTTTTTTTTTTTTTTTTTTTTAAATATAAGTTTTTGATAGCTGAATGGTTTTATAATTAATGGTATTATTAATGAGTAATGTATTGCCTTGGATTATTTTTACTGTTTACAAAAATTTATATACCAATATTTCATATTTTGTTATAGTAGAGGATTAAAACTGTTCAAATTAGTTATCAGCATTTTTCATATTTTCACCATAAAAGACATGATCATAAATAAGACTTATTTCCAAGATGTTTATTAATGATTATTATCCATATTGCAGCCTCCATTCTCCAACAGCATGGTGGTCATGCTCCTGATTTCAAAGGAGAAGCTTACACATTTAAAGCCACTACAGCTGGCATCATTGCTACTCTATCTCACTGCATTGAAATTATGTCACAAAGAGAGGATGCATGGCGAAAACGGTTAGAACGGGTAAGTAAAATAAAACTTTAAAATTTTAAATTTTATCAAGGTATGATTTGGCAGCTTATTTTTAAAACAGGTAACTAGTAGATCTTTCTAAATATTTCTGCATAATGCTTATGCTATAGAATCAGTAAAAAATAAATTAACAAAATATATCAATAAATTTGAAGAAAATACAGGCCTTCAACTTTTCTCTTAAGGTACCAACCATTAACAAATTTTTGTATATGAGCTATCTTAATTAATCTAGGAATTATTAAAACTGATTTTTGTTTCACCTTAAAATTTTCATAAATTTTAAACAATTGGAATGGGAGGGAAAAACTACTCTTTAAGCATTAATATTTCAAGAAAAATCAATGATTGTTGAGGATAAAAATTATATAAATTTTCCACTAATCTCATCAATAAAACATTTATGAGGCTTTTGTTGGTAATTTCCATGTAAAAAAAAATCCTATAACAATGAACAAGTTGATTAAAAGGAGGAGACATTTTTATTTACTAGCAGGATATAAGTTTATTTGATGGTCATTTAATATCTGGCTATCAGTAATTTGGTAACAAGCTAGCTAGTTTTATTGTCAGCATTGTATTTATATCATTATGTGCGGTTAATATAACAATTATTGGCATAGAAAGTAGAAGACACAAGATAAGTTCAAATTCCAGCCTCGTCTTTTGCATTCATTTTCAAACTAATGCATTTGTGAAAAGTGTGAATGTTTTTTTTCTTCCCTATCCTTTGGCTATGGATTAAATAACAGAGTAGACTGAGCTATATAGCCTTGGGTGGCAGCCAGTCTACAAGTTTTTGAACCCAAAACTGGAGATGGCAATGATAAATCACTCTTATCTTTTTCAAGATGTCACTGCAATTCACACATAAAGAAAAAGAATTATATGGAGAACCATGGTCAATTAAAACCTGTAGAGACATGGCATTTAAAAAAAAAATACAATACAACTGAAAGAGAAAGTTCTTTATCAACCCAATAACAAAATATTTTAGAAAATATTTGTATATTTCTTTTAAGAACCCCTAATAACTGGATTGATTCTGGATAGTTTTAAACTGTTTACAAAATATGACATACCTACATTTTTCTTATTTTTATGACTATTTACAGAAGGAGAATTTACTATTGAAGATATATTTAATTCACATATGAAAATAAAACACTTTATCAACCGCTACTCCAGATGGTTTAGGATAGAGGAAGTTCATCTGCTATCTAACCATGGCTAATATGTTCCAAGTTTTTAACTTTTATCTTACTTGTTAAGAAACTATTGCCAACTGTTTGCTGATTACAACAAAACAGCTTTTAAAGTAAGTGACAAGTATGATGAAACACTGAATCGTACCTGATAGATAGAAAGTCCTTACAAGTGTACTTGGAAATGTCAAAGCAAATTTGGCAATAATCCATTTAATAATTTACGTACACTGTTAATCTATTATGGAAATCAATGTTTCCACAATAAAATTGGTATTAACTGATATTGGTAACATTTTAAGGATATATGTACATATATATGAGCAATATATCATGTGAGTTTCAGCTTAGAATATTGATCCCTATTAAGAATATTGGTATTTTGTTTTGGTATATCAAGTTTTATTATGCCAACAAATTAGGTGCAACATAAAATCTTTATTTACAAATAAATCCAAAAGATATACAGGGTGCGATGGATAAATTGTTGTCTAAATTATGCAAAAATGAAAATAACATTGACATTTCAATTTAACAGATATATTTACCATAGTAACACAAAAATATCTTGAAAATTCATTTACTATAGAGTAAATTTATTCAATAAAATCAACATTGACTCCAACTACGGCCTCCAGATGACATTGGAATCTCCTGCAACTCTTCCAGATGGCTTCCTTGTTTAAGTTGGTGAATGCTGCCATAATCCTTGCCTTCAGTTCATCTTTGGTATTACAAGGAATTTTGTTGGTCTCTCACTCAACTGCGCCCTACACATAATAATCAAGGGGCTTACAATCTGGGAAGTTAGGTGGCCAGATGTAAGTGGTGATGTGGTTACAAAAATTGTCTGACAGCCATGACTGGATTCTCTTGCTTGTGTGGCATGGTGCAGAGTCCTGTTGCCAGATATAGGGTCTTCCAGCAGCCACCCCATTGATCCTAGACAGCACTACCTCCTCAAGGCACTTGATGTAGGCCTCCATGTTGAGTTTAGAGGTTCTTTTCTTATCAGAATGATCAGAGTGAGTTTTCCATGCTGCTGTACCTTTTGTAATCACCATTAGATTCATCCAATTCTTTCAAATCATTTGCACTGTTCTAACACAATCACACCCTGTAAATCATAGAAACACAATATCCCCATATACTTGAATAAATTATTTCATATGTTAATATAAATACCTTGATATTTTTTACCATCATTCTTTCACCCATTGTGTTAAATATTCTAATGTTTCATCTTGTAGCAGTTTTATTCTTTTACCATAAATCTTTGCTTGAATATTGTTTGCCATTCTCATAGATATCGCTTTAAATAAAAGATCATGTTTCATATTGGATATATAGCTGGAGAATCTCGGAAACCTTTTTGGTAAAGGTTAGCAATAATCATCTTTGGTGAATGGGAAAGAGCTTTTAGTTTGTGACCTATACCACTTAAATAATATCTTTTCCCAAAAATTATAATAAATCCCTTATAATAAATCTTGATACCATCATCAACTTTAATGGAACATATAATTTTATTGCTTGTAGGACTAGTTGTTATCCTAAACTACCCTGGTTTATGCTGCAAAAATGTGTCAAAATAAAGAAATGTCCTTCAAGTTCAAATGATGATATCTCATTTGATTTCTAGGCTGTTCTTTCTCATGTGGTTTTGTTCCACTTCTCTTTAAATTATGTCACTATTTTAATGACAACTGCTTCTTTTTCTGTATTTTTGAAGTTGACAATTTTATAGTGGTGTTTTTAAAACTTGTTGCATTCTGAGTTCTCTCTCTACACATCAAAATTGGTGGACTTAAAATATGGTCTGAAGTTGCTATTCAACAAAAAAAATTTCTAAGTGGAGAACTTTAATGGATGAAATACCAGAGAAATTCAACTTAAATAAATAAAAATTGTACCTTCTTGTAGAGCAATGTCTCGGCTTTAATAATCAGTTGGTATAATCTCTGCACGCATACAAATCGAGGATCCAAAAAGAAGGTATACTGCATTTTTTTGTGAAAAACCATTGGGTCCAATGCATCAAAATTTGTATTGCTGACCAAGTGAATGAACATCACCAGCTGAACTCAATTTTAAATCAGACTTGTTTCATTGATGGATATTACATAGTTTGATTTTTTTTTAATTTTTTAATAATGCATTTTAAAACTATAAAGTACTTATTCACTATATTTTATCCAAACTGTTATGTTCGAGCACAGCCTATTCTATGTTCAATTTCCTTATCACCTATACTAAATTTGTTATACCTTATCCATACACTGAGGTTGAAGTGTTTAATATTTACTAATTCAACATCATAAATTTTTATGATGGGTTTATTACATGCTATCACTATTTTTATTCCAATTCCATAACATAGAAAAGTTTATCTTTAGTCCTGTTGTTTTATTTTTTTTTTAAAGGTCATTCTTATCCTGATGATGAATGATGTTATTGGGCATCTCCCCCATCATCAGTAAACCAACCTTGCAAGAGAGAGAAGGAATACTGTTTTCTGTTAATAGATTTTTTGGGGATGTGGTATGGAATGCATAGAATGCTCAGTGCCCATCTCTTCACAACTGTGCTTGTATATATGCAGAGAATAATCTAGGAAGAAATTAAATAGATTGGGGCTCTTATTTCCTCCTTGTCATACTCCAGATGTGGCTTGAAATGTTTCAATATTGGGGTTGACTTTGCTTATCAATATAGTTCTTCTATCTGATCTAGACATTCAGTGGAATCAGAGATTGGAAGACATTTCCTAATATATGGGAAGATGTGGTCCTATGCTGCTGTTAGGTTAACCTACCTGCTCTTGGAGAGGTATGCAAATGGCAGAAATGATCTGCTGAGTCATCAACTCCAGAACTCTGCAAAAGGCTCTCAAAAGCTCAGAATCTTAGATGGTAAGGTATAAGTTCAAAGTTTTGAATTACACCAATTATTTAAATTTGTACCTTTATTAATCTAATCACTGTACTTGTTGAACATATTGAGAGATATGCATCTTCATCAAGTTAGAATATGTAATTATATGCTGAAACACAGCAAGAATATTAGTTATATTGTTCTTAAATATGCAATTATCAGTATTCCTTAACTAGGTTCTATCATTCAACTTTCTTACTGAATATTGTCAGTACTGTCAATGTATTGATAATTTTAACACCATTAATGTCTTTTCATTGTCCTGACTTTTGATGCATTTGTGATTTTCTTCTTTTTTTTTTTTTTTTTTTTTTTTTTTTTAAGAGTGGCTTTTTAAATCACTCTTTAATAATAGAGTAACATATTGTAAATTATGAAGTTTTATATCTTTTAATAATGAATAGAAAATCTTCCTCTGAGTTTAAAATTTTTCTTCATTTTCATACTTTTAATTTTTACATTTTGATAATCCTATCTTTTTTCAATTTGTAGACAAAAGTAATGTTAGGTTTGCACAGTTAAGTATCTTGTATTGTACATTAGTTTTGTAGTGTAGAGAGAAGACAAAGGTCAAATCCTTAGTTTAACTCTCACTTGTATTTATTTATTTGCACTCTTCACAGCCAAACACAATCCTTTCTCATAGCAAAAGCTGCTTATGTTTTGGATTCTATTTTATTAAATGAATTACACAGAAACCAGCACAATTTATTATTAAAAGATGAGTTTAGGCAGTGGTAAGGAAAATTACCATTTGTATTTGAATGTTTTACTTAACATTTACAGAAAAAAAATTCTATCCTTTCAAGACAGAATTTTTTCTAAACTTGTTGTCAATGTTGCAATTTATTTCTTTTCTTTTTAAATATTAAAAGCCATGTTTGACTAATGTCACCTCTACTAACAAAACACATTAGCTAGTAAATTACTGGAGTTTAAAGGTAAGTAAACTTTTGTAAATGAAATGCCCAATATTAAAAAATAGAATAACAGTAATTAATATGCAAGTAATTAGGGATTATTTTTGGACTTCAAGTTTCATATACCATTCTGCTCATCAGGGTAAGTTAAATCTGTTGAATTCATTAACAGATGTCATGTTTACATATATATATATATATATATATATATATATATATAGTTGATTCCTGTTCAGCTTTGTTTTTTATAATACTGATAAATAATATTTCTGAAAAATAATCATGTAGTTGGATTTTTTTTTTTGTTTTAATTGAAGATAAAATGCAGTGCAGGGGATAATTTAAATAATGAAGAATGTGGCTGTACTGGATAGTAAAAGAAGTGTAACAATTCATGAATTTGTTTTTGTGGTTATGAAAACTTTTCTGTACATTTGATATTGCAAATTTTGGAGGTCATATCAAAAAGGAGTTTACTTCATAAGGTTGTTTTTTTTTTCTTGATTCCTGATCAGGCTAATCACATGTTTCTCTACAGAATTTATTAGCATTTCTTTATCATGTGCTTAGGAAGTGGAAAAACGGAAGAAAGTTGAAGAATCATACAAAACTATCTTAATGGACAGACAGAAACCAATTGTCTTTGGTGGTCCAGATTATGAGGTGAGTTCTATATTTTAACTGGATAGAATTATACTCAAATTTCAGAATACTATTTAAAATCCCAGTAATTAAAATTTCTGAACTATTTTTGTTTCATCATAATAATTACAAAGTTCTTTATTTTAGTCATCTTTTTTTTTCTTTTCTTTTTTTAAATCTCATGTAAATTTATATACTGATATAAAAATCCTGAAATCTATAATAATTTCTATCTACAAAAATTGCAGGAAGGCCCTCATTGTGCAATCAATGAAGATGAATTTTTTGATGCTGTTGATGCTGCTCTTGATAAACTGGAGAAAGAGGAGGAAAGGGTCAATATTTTAATTTTTTTTCTTAATCCACTTTTTAAAAGTTTATTTTGATATTACATTTTCTAATGAAAATATTAAACAAAAAAACTAACAGAAGAGTATTGCTCATGCTAATATTGTAAAGAGCTGATAAAGATGTCAATTATGAAAAAATTTTTTCTTTAAACAGGCATCATATGACATCAAGATTGAGGCACTGAGGTACCACACCCATTTATGATGATAATTTTGTCTTTGAGTTTCTGTAAACATACAGCATAAATAGTGTTAAAACTGTGGTGTTGTTTTGAAGTTGTATATGTTATACCTGACATTTTAAAACAAGTTGTATTTTTTTTAAGAGATATCTTTATGAATTTAGATTTAAAAACTATTAATATTGATAAAAAATTTTGATTCAATGTAAACACTAAAATATACCAAGAGCAATGTCTAATTGCATCTATAAAAAAAAAATAACTAGTATGCATAATTTCTGACTATTCATGCATGCCATTGTTTTGGTTTTTATGTTATTGAAATTAAAAGGTATTATTAGATTGTAATGAGTTATACATTTTTAGCATTTAAAAGTTACCAGTTATTTGGTTAAACAATTAAATTTTTCATTTTTATCAGATTTTAACAGATTGATTTTCTTATTTTTTTTATTTATTTATTTTTTGGCAGAAACACATTGCAGCTGTCAAGCCTCAACCTCCTCCAGCAATTCTACTTTCACCTAATCATAGCTTGTACAATGAGGTAAGTCACTTCTCTTACTCACTACTCACAAATTAGATTTCTATTTATATATCTAGAACACTTATTTTGTTCGTTTTAATCAAAGTATGAGAGAAATGTGTGTATATATATATATATATATATATATATATATATATATATATATATATATATATAGTGTGTGTGAATAAAGACAAAAAAGGAAACTTATTTTGGATTTCATCCTCTGGTGCACTTTATCAAGGCAAATATGAGGATTTATAGACAGAAGTAAAAATGTTATTTTTTCAAAATTTTAAAATTTAAGAGACACTTATAAATATTTATCAGGTTAACTGAAAAGTCTAGATAAATTATGGAGGATGATCAATGACGTAATAAAATGCCTAATAAATGAAAGTGAGTAAATGTGTTTTTTTTTTTTTTTTGTGCAATTAATATTTAAATTATTTTAGTATAGGATAAATTTATGTATTATATAATTTTTAAATAACTGGAAGTGATCAACAATTAAAGAGCGTATGTATCAATTTTAGAATAATAAAAAAATTGTCAAAAATACAAATGTTATTGAAACTCAGTGCTTAATGTGAAATATAAAATACAAAGCAATATACAATCAGGGCTATATGTGCTCTTCAAATTCCACACTATGAAAATGGAGTATGCTCCTCCTCTTGCTCCTTCATAAAAAAGAGCTGCTCCATTGATAAGTTGTAATGTTACATCAACAAATTCTCTTTTACCCAATACACTGTTTATTGTTCCCTAATTAACCACAAGCATCAACCTTAAAATTTCTTTGTGTGTGCTGATGTAATGTAAGTGGTGATAATAGAAAATCTTTAGAAATTTGCTTTAGATAAACAGTCTTTTCATGCATGCAAAAAATAAATCTCTTAAATAAATACTAATTTTATCAACAACAAAATCTTTATTTGAATATTGGGTTTAAATTGAGAATATCATATTTCACAATAATTTTGCCAATTTTCTGAGCTAATGTAACATGTTCTTTTCATCTCTGAATAATTAATGAAAATGATATTTTTTTTTTTTTTTTTTTTGAGTCACTTACTGTGTGTGCTTATTTTTTTTAAGTAGTTAAAGAATGTGTAAAATTTATAAACTTTAACTATTGCAAGTTATGTATGTAAAATAATATTCATTATGAGATAGAAAAATGAATCACTGAATGATCATATCTTTTCAGGCTAATTAATTTATGGAATATTTAATGCAATTTAAAGTATCTTAAATAATTAAACATTATGCTTTTAAATGTCCTATTCAAAATTAAGTTACATCTAAAGCATGAAAAACTAAAAGCAAAATTAATAGTTTTAAAATAAAGTGTGACCATTTTTTTTAAGTACATGGATATTACTAAAAAAACAAAAATCACTACTTTATCTTCCTAACTCATTATGTCTCCCTAATGAAAGAAAAAGCTTCTTCCGAAGTTTTAAAAAGAAAACTACCACAACAAGAATCAAGTTCAGTATTGTATAATTTTATTTTATTAGAGTTCAATGATAGCAAAAGTTGTTTTTCAAAATTTTTCATCTTTTTAAACTATTTTTTTCTGAAAATATCTCCCCTGAAGCTGAAAAATCTCAACAGATACTGCTGCTTGAGAGTATTAAACTTTTTAAAGAGAATTTTTAATTCTGAAAAGTTTTAATGATTCAATGGTGGCAAACCTGGCAGTAGAATAATGGCTTAACAGGTCTAAAAGATGTGAAATTCTTTGTTTTGTTTTGTAACAACTCATCCACTGAGTCCTCATTATCTGACCTGTTGCTGCTGCTTAAATTCAGTTTTAGGCTGGACAATTATGGATTTCCTCCCAAATAAGTTTTTCTCTCATCTCCATCTAACCAATTGACATTTTTGAACATGTTAGCTAAAAATGGTTACAATAAGTAGTTTTAATCTTTTGTCTGAAAGGCAAATCTCATATCATTTCCATTGCACAGGACTTCTACCAATGGCTTACATAATTTCAGCTTATCCTTTTTTGTTTCTAGTTTTTTATTTAATTGTTCAATAGTTGGGATAAGGAATCTAGCATTAGTGTTTGTCACCCTGGAAGATATTAAGCGCTTGGTCCAATGACTTTATAACTTTCAAGTATTTGGATATAAAGAGAACTTCCTCTTCTTTAAATTCCTCAAGTTCAAATATGTCTGTTAGAGAGTTCAGGTTGTCTTCACTTTCTTTCAAAGACCTCCATGATTATAAATGGAACCTTAAAGAGCAAACCATTTCATTTTTTTCTTACTTCATCTGCCATCTTATTCCACAGAACTTGGCATTTTATACACAGCATTCCCATGCGGAAAATATTCAGCATTGTGCAGTTATTAATTAATTATTAATCATAAATATTATTAATTAATCTTATTAATTCATTAATCTTAAATAATCTTTAGCAACGCAGATAATCAAATTAATTTTTTTTTATTCTTAACTTGTATTATTAAACCATTATATTTTAATATTGAACCAAAATACACACTGCAATGTCCACTTCCAAAAGCAAATATTTTTAAAAGTAAATAAATTTACATAAATTGACCATCTTACAACCAAAAGAAAAAACAAAAAAACTTAATCTTTTCTAACTTTGAACAATAGCCTAAATGATTAAACTTGTAAGCTTCAAATTAATGTGCAAGTGTAAAAAATATTTTTTTTAAAAAGAAAAAGCTGATTCAAGAGAAAATTGAATTGTTGAAAAAACTGAACTGTGGTGCTTCAGTGCATAAGATTTGTGAAAATTATGTTCTTAGTAAATCAATAGTTTATGATATAATTAAGGAAAGTAAAAAAACTATTAAAATTCCATACACGTGATGCCAAGAAGTAAATGTCCACTGGAAAAACAATCAAATGTTTGAAGAGTCCAATGATGATAGAAGTTCCACTGCATCATTGAAGTGATGCAGTGGAACTTTGTTTCATGTGAATTTCATTAAATTATTTATGTAAATTCAATATTTAGAGTGTTTTGATCAAGTTGACCACTTCATATTCAGAAAAAATCAGTAATCTGAAAAGGTTTCAAAAACAAAGGTTCCAGAAAATCGATCTTTACTTGTATTTGCATAAAAAAAAACTCAGTCATTTTAGCCAATATTTGGCAACTTTTGTACTGTTTAGTCAATGAATAATTATGTTTTATGTTTTTTCATAAAATGATGATTTTAATAAAAAAAAATATATTGTTGAAAATGTTTTAATTATGACATTTAAATTTAAACATTTTCAACGAGACACCTTATTTAAATAAAAAAAATACTTTTTGATTTTTACCCCTTACTTTTTCAACAAAAAAATTAATTTCAAAAAACTTTAGTAGTCATGTTTCCTTAAAAAAATCAAACTTTAAACCAGTAAAAATGAGGGGTCAGTTCAACATTTTATTATAAACAAATAGAAAATGCAAACTTTTCACCTTTGAAAAATTATTGCTAAGTGGCAAAATTTATTACAAAAATAGGTTTCAATGAGAAATGCACACTTGATTCAACACTGCATTTAATCTAAAACAAATGTGAAAGTTTAAATACAGTGGAACCTCGGTTATGAAGCTATCATACAATCTGATTCCAAAGAAAGTTCCGAGTATTTCTTTAGAGAAGTCACTGGACTTAGATGTGAGTGAGCAGAATGTGGAGGAGTTGTTGGAGGACCACAGCAAAGAGCTGACCATTAAAGAACTTCAAGACCTTCAGCTTGAGTAAGCAACAAATGGCAGCTGAAGAAAGCTTCAAAGTAGGAGATGGGGGAGAATATGCCTTCTTCAGTGATTAAAAACATTTGTTCAAAACGGACTGAGGTGCAAAGTTTTGTTGAAAAATATCATCCTTACAAAGCTGTTGCAAGCCATTTCACAAACCTGTTTAATGACAATGCCATGTCACATTTCTGGTCAGATTTTTAGTGAGAGAGGGATCCAGTTAGTCTCAAGTAAGTTCTAGTAGCACAAAGAGACAGCAGGGAAATAACACCAGAAAAAGATTTACCTGAAGTCTTATGGATAAGCATTCACCTTCTAAACAATAACACCTCCTCACCATCTTATATATACCAATAAGAGTCTTCAATAAAGGTAAAATGAAGTTAAATGTTCATTTATTCTATTTATTTGTCATCTATATTTATTTCTTAGTGTTTTCTGCATGTAAACACCATAGTTTTTCTCTATAAAATGCATTTTTTGTTAATATTTTTGGCTGTATATAACTGATTAATTGGATCTATATTACTTATGGGAATATTACCTCGGTTTTCATGCATTTCAGTTTTTGGTCAATTTTCTGAAACAGATTTTGGTTTATAACCAATATTTTTTGATTCTATGAACATTAAAACCCAGAATACAGTTAAAATGTTATATAAAGCTACTAAATATATATGTCTAAATAGATTCTTATTTATTTTTCTGGTGTTAAAATGTGGAAAAAGTTTAATAAATACCTACATACAAACATTTGTTATTTTTAAACTCCATATTAAAACTGTCACAAGAGCACAGACATTGTGGCAGATAGAAACTCTGCCATAAAGCTTAAACTGCAAGATTAGCAATTTGTCTGTCAAAAAAGTTTAATCTTTAGTTTTGAATCAGATCAAAAGAAAAAAAAAATGGCAACACTGTCTTAGACTATTTCAGTATGAAAAACAAAAGTTCAAAAGAAATATCTCATTGAATATTTTCAAATTTGTCTCGTATAACGGAAAGCCGACCCAGATAAATAAAACTGACAGCAGCCATTCAAATTTCACAACTTCACATTTTTAATTTTAGGAATGGTAAAAAGAGCACATTATTGCTCCTCTCACACTCCTTGTGGAAAAAACAAAGGGTGCCGCCTTCTTCTTGATACAGGCAAAAAAAACAAAAAAAATCAGCGGGAGTGCCCCTTTCAAGAAGTCTCCTTAAAGTCCTGTATACAATACTTAACTTTTATTGTGTCCATGTCTTACAGTTTCATATGCTCTTGCTGCTAATTTCTGACAGTCATACAATCTTCAGGTAGTAGAAAAAGGATAGAAAACTTTCTAAATTTTATTCCATACATTGAGGAAGTGGTGAGGCAGTTAACTGGTGGTGGAAAAAAGAGGTTGTTTTCCTTAAGAGCATGTTATTACCATTTCGGCAGGGATGGCATCTGAAAATTCCAGGAACCAGTTCAATAAAAGCAGGTAATCTTTAGAAAACTATTCTGCTTATTTTCTTTTCAATCTGAGAATGGAAACAAATCACTTTATAGTATGAAAAAAAAATTAAACCATTTTGATAATTTAAGAAAACATTTATTTTTAGATATTTCCAGATTAAAATTTTCTTATATTTCTGTTCAGAAGTATGATGATTTTTGACTCTAGTGTCATCAGCTTTTTTATGGTTTCTTAACCACATTCGAACTTAATTGCTGCAGTCCCAAAGATCCAATGGAAGACCTATCAAATTTATGACTTGAAGATTTGCTACATTATTAACTTCAAGATGATTTCTTTTGTCAGAATAAATTATGATCATCATAGAAAACCCTCTTTCAGCTCCCACAGAACTTACAGCAATGGAGTTAATTATATTTGTAGCTCTTTGGATAGTTTTGGGTACATATGATAATTTCTAGTTACGTTTTTCGATGTAATCATGGAAATCATTAACGGAAATCTCATGGCAAAATACTTTACAAGAGTCCAGTAACTTCTCTTCGGCATCTTTCCAGGGAAGTACAACTTCTTCCATATTCCAAGAATCTGGGTTCACAATATTAACTAATTCATGAATTTTATGATTTATGTTATGAGAGTTATTGCTTATGTCATCACCATCCATTAGTCTTAATCTCATATTTGTTATCACAACATTTACCAATTTTTGACGAGGAAGACTTGCATTGTTTTCAATAAAATTAATATGTTGAAATTCTTTAGAAGAGATAGTTTCATATATTCTATTTTCATAAATATCACTGTTCTCTCTGAGAAAATTGAATGCTTTGATTGTTCTTTTAATCAGTTCTTCAGCACATAATATATTTATACATCTTCCTTGAAGAGCATCTGGCAACAAAGAAATTTATTCCAGTATATTGATCATTAATGCCAGATTTCATAAAAGATTTGTTGTAAAGATGCTTGGCCATTACTGCAAATTTCTCATTAGTAGAAAGCAAATCATATATTGCTGGACAAGCTGGCCATATTGCAACTGTTGATTTATGGCTGCATGCTACACATCTTGGACCAAAAACTCTAACGTTCAGGATTTCAATTCCCAGTTCATTTGAAATTGTCATTAGTGCTATTTGATTTTTATTAGACTGGTGAAAGATCTTGTATATTTAATCAATAAATGCTTTAAAGTGATTCACTTGCTTTACATCATTGATAGAATCATCTAAAATAAGCTGAAGGTGATAACTCTAACAATGCCAATGATCTCAGGAAAATCATTTTTCATTTTAACACACATTCTCAAGTTCCTCCCCAGCATCACACTTGCTCCATCTGAACAAAATCCAACTAAATTACTCTTCAAATATTGAACATGAAATACTACTGAATGCACACTTTGTAGTAGAGAAGTGTAGATGCTTTCAGCATCTTGGCCTTGTAATTCCACCAAATCAACAAAAATTGTTGGTGAAAAATCAGTCTTCAAATTTGATAAAAATGATAAGGACTGGTTTACATGATATTATTGAAGTTTCATCAATTATAACACAGATCTTTAAATTCTGTTCAGTTATTTTATTGTATACTTCCTTTTTAATGTCCTTTGCAATATGATCAACAATTTTCATGGCATTCTGTCAAGAATGAAGTCCTACTCCCATATCTAACCTGTTTGTAGTTCTATCAATTGTTCAATATCAGACAACAGTCTGTTTGTTTTGCTAAACTGTAAACAGTATTGAAAATTTTACAAGTGGAGCTTATAAACTTCTCGTTTGCTATGTCTGTAGATTTGAAAATTGTATTCTTTACACTTTTAATTGCATCGTGCATATCTGATGTGCTGAGTTCAATACTTGGCCACAGCAGAGGGAACAAAAACTTGGAGAATTGAGTTATCAGGGAAAATGAACTGAAACTGAGATATCCAAAAGCAAAGCATATTGAATTTGACTAAATAAAGGGTTTGGATTAAAATTCCAACAAATATCACCTGAAGCAGGCCAGAGCATACAATGGCCAAAACATTGTGAATATGGCAATAAAGAAGAGGACAACAGTCCAAAAAATGTAAATAGTTACAATATGCAGGGTATACAAGAAATATGCTTTGCCAAGAAGAAAATATAAGTCTATTGAATAATGCAAAAATGATGGTATCATTATTTGGAAGTACATATTCTTGTGAACAACTTTTGAAAATGAAATATGCTAAAAGTCATTTAAGAACAAAGTTGGATGCTGACCACTTGGATGATGTTTTGCTCCTCTCATTGACAAATATTTCACCTGATGTGTAGAGGTTGTTAAACAATAAGCAGAAACAAGTGTCACATTAAATAATTTGCCATTTCTAACTGTATTTGGTTTGTAGTAAGGAATTTACATTTTTCTTGTGTTATTTTATTCCTGCAGTTAAAGTAAGGAACCTTGTTTAAATAACATTAACTGCATTGTTTTTTCTTTAAATCTCCAGACTAAGGCACCCTTCCGGACAGAGTGGTCTGAGGTTGAAACAATTTATTATTATACATTTGATATCATAGCCCTTCTGCAAGACACTGCATAGCTTTCTGTCTCGCTCTCTTGAAAAAGTTGCTGACGTTTAATCCAGTAAGTCCAGTAATCTCCCAGTAGACAATCAAAGCAGAAATGGTGGATAATACAAAAACAAAAAACAAACTAAAAACAATATTCATAGCTGAATCTTAGTCAAGATATAGGCTACTTGTTGCATTTTTCTAGTGGGGAGTGGGTGAAGGGTAGGTGTTCCTGTTTCACTCTCTCTGGTTAAAATCCTGTTATGAGTACAAACCCAGATTATACCAGGTTCTAATTCATTTTATTGTAATTAAATGCTTTTTGTAGTTCTTTTAACCTTACTTACTATATCCATGATTTACACCAATTCACCTTCACCATAGTGTGATATTTATAATGGAAAACCATTCATCAATCTCCATTGAAGATTTAATACCACATTTCATCTCATCACATAAGAGCTTATATAACTTATATAAATTGTTGTGATATATATCAATTTTTGATGATCACTTTGGGGATCATTTTATTTTGTAGATCAATCAAATTACTGCTGAACATCTCAAGTTTTTGGAAGACAAAAATGATGATGGGGAGGATAATTGGATTATGTTGCATGAAGAAGGAGAAATGAAAGTCTACAAGCGAGAACTTGAGGAGGATGGCCTGGTTCTTGATCCATTGAAAGCAGTCCATACAGTTAAAGTGAGTTCAAAAAGATACTAAGATTCTTATTGTGTGTGGAATTCAGTGCAAGCGAATAACTTTCATACAAACTTGGTTCAAGATCAAAATCTGTTAATTGAATAATTTATTAAAAAATTAATGTAGATAAAAAAATATACCTGTCATGAAATGTATTGAAAAAAAAAAAAGTAACATTCATAAAATTATTATTTGAAGAAAAAAAATCCATGTGAAACTTACCAGTACTAACTTGTATAAATGTTAACATGTTGAATATAGTGTTACATATTCAGTTACAAAAAAAAAGTTTTGTCAAATATTAAATCATACGGGATACAAAGTGACATGTAAAAGACAGCATGTATGCTTCCAACTTAAAATACTATTATACCAAGAAAAATAAATATTCTAATTTTTTTTTTCTTAGGGAATAACAGGACATGAAATTTGCCATTATTTTTGGGATTTAAATGTGCGGATGGATTGGGAAGGTAAGTTGTTTAGAAAATGTTAATTCTAGAACTTTTTATTATTTTAATTGAATTTGTTCAATCAAAATTTTTAGTTTAAAGAGAAACTGTTTTACTACATTATCATTCCAACAAGGCAGCTTGCAGTCCACCATTGTCAAACATTTGATTCAGATCTATGCTACTGAAAAATTAGCCAAAGAAAGTGTGTTGTCATTAGATATTAAAAACCTATTTACTAACATCCCTGTTAATGAGACACTTGCTATTAAACAATATTTATCATCATTCTTCTTTAAAAAAGTAACTCTACAATTCTTAAAAAAAAAAAAAGAAGCTTTTAGTAGCTTGCACAACACATGTTCCATTTAAAGATCATCTAGGTAATATTTATACCCAGACTGAGGGTGTCCTTTATTTTCTTCTATATGGACCATCTTGAAAATATTTAATAAATTAAATAAACCCACTATTTATGAAAGATACATTGATGATATAAAACAGTTAATAACATTTACAGAACTTAAAGATAATTTTGAAAAAAAAACTGTTTACTTTTGAATTTGATATTAATAAAAAAAAAAGAACCCTTTTCTTGATGTACTTAATGATCATAAATTTTCCACCTCACAGTTTAAAAAAATCATCTAGTTCGCATTCTTGTCTTCTAAATTATGAAAGTGAATGTCATGAAAGATATGCTCTAGCTGTTTTAAAGAATTTAATCAAAAGGGCTAAATGAATCATTATTTATAGACTCGAGTAATGTAAAACAAACTTATTAATAACGGTTTCCTTAATTATATTGCTGATTATTAAATTAGACTTTTCTTATACAATAATAATTTTAATATAAACCTTAGTTCTCAAAATAAGTTTAATAATAATGATAATACCATTAACATATACTATAGAAATTAAATGCACTACAATTACAAAAACAATGAAAATCTATAAAAAGGATATTACATAGATATATTAAACCCGTAGAAAAAAAATACCCATTTATGGTTTAATATTTATTATAAAACATTTAAAACTAGCAATTTAATTTTTTTTAAATATTTCTCAATCCACCAACCCGATGTTTATGAATTTATTTCTCCAATTGGAGATTGCATCACTGTAAACAATAAACACTACATATATAGGTTACACAACAACCACACTTTCCCTGAAGACTCATGTACCACTTATCAGAACAAAGTTCCACCAAACAACATATTAATAAGTATCATAAGGACTATAAACACCAAAGTAATATATAGATCCAATAGCAAGCATAGACGAAAAGTCAACACCATCTGCACCAGACAGAAGCAAATATACAGTAATAAAAATAGTCTTCAACCTAGCATTACATAAAAAAGAAACACCAAAGATGTCATCACACACATTCTATGCCTGTTCTCATGACATGTAGCAGATGGGACTTCCATACTTCTCAGGTTTGTTTTGTTAAAGTTCAATACAACATTGCACTATATATGCTATTACTTCATAATATACTAATTACACACCCCGAAGATGACTTATGAGTTGAAAGCTTGGATACAGTCGTTATAAAATTTTTGAAATTTTCTACATCAACAACTGTCGTTTTTGTGAAGGATAATTCATAATTTGGAGAGGAAGATGGACAATCTCAATAGATATAAAATATCTATACTCTTTAATAAGACATGTTTGAAGGAGGAATTGATGCCTAATTTCACTAACTTAAGATTTTATATTTTTCTCAAACTGATAAATTTTCTTTTGTCTCAAAGTAAATTTTAAAAAATAGTATTTTTTCTAAGTTTTGATTTAGTTTTTAACTAAAATATGAAACAAAATTTTTTATTGTATTTCAGGTACGCTGGAGAGTAGTCGTTGTATTGAATGGCTCTCAGAGGATACTTTCATCAGTCATAACATTATTAAACGTGTTTGGCCTGCTTCACAGAGGGATGCTGTGTTTTGGTCACATATTCGTCATGTAATAAATGAGGATGAAGAAGAACCAGACACTTGGATTGTTGTCAATTATTCAACAGATCATCCTACTGTCCCTGTGAGTATTCTTTTTATATGACATTTAAAAAAAATTGATTTTAAATTATTAAGTAGATGTATAGAATAGGAATTCTTATATGTAAATAGAGAAACTTAGCAAAGTTGTTTAGGATTGGCTAGAAAATGATAAATAATTTATTTACTTAAACTAGTTGGAAAGAAGAAATGGTGGGGTAAAGCTAATGGAATGGCTTAGTGGCTTTCTTTGTCTTAATGGTAGGGTTTGATGCAAAAAGAAAGTGAAGTACAAGAGAAAAGGGAAGAAACACAGTCACATGTCTCAATTTCTTGCTCGCCCTGGTTGTCCTTAGAAACACTGTTAAAAATGCCTTTCTCCTGAACTCCCAGTGTCAATCTCATTTGCTCTTTTATTCTCTCCCAAAGTACTTGATGTGGGTGTTTGGATTAGATTTGCATATGCAAATTGTGTCCTGTCTTGTCTATTGTGCATTCATTTTATTCAGATAAATCAACCTCAACTGGTTAATGCGAGGCTCAGGTTCGAATCACACTGCAATCAATTCTTGTTGTTTTGCAAATTCTTTTCATGACAGGTGAACACCTTCTCTTGGCACCTCCTTTGTTACAGATATCAAAAAATTACACCTAGTGTTGTGATTTAGATTTCTCTCTGGAATATTGTTTGGAAAATGGGACATCAAAGAAGGAACCCATTTTATTGCACCACTTCTGACAAAAGTTTTAACACCCTGCCAATCAGAACTAAGAAAGTTATGCTATGCATCTGGTGGGATTGGAAAAGAATCCTGTACTATGAGCTTGTACCAAGTAACCAGTCAATTGATTCTGAAAAGTACTGCTTGCAAGTGGACTAATTAAAGGCAGCAATTCCAGAAGAACACCCAGAATTGGTAAACAGGAAATGTGTTGTATTCCATCAGGATAATGCCAGACTTTGGCAACCTGGTAAAAATTGTTGCAGCTTTGCCCACCTGCCATATTCACAAGACATTGCTCCTTCGGATTTTCATTTATTCAGGTCCTTGCAAAATAATCTCTGATAAAAATTTTAATTAAGGAAAAATGGAGATAGGTTGTGCAATAAAATGGTTCATATTTAGTTGAATAAATATTTAATCGCATAATATTGTTTTGTGTTTTAATTTCCCTTAAAAATTGGCACAAAATTTCCGGATAACTCAATATAAACAAGTAGTAGTTGAATTACCTTAAAAGATACTTCTAACATTTCACTAAATTTGGGCAAAAGATGGCACTAGAAATTTTGTATCAAACAATATCATAAATAATCACATTCAAGATACTTTTTCTGATTGAAAAGATTAAATTATTTTGTTTTACATGTTTATCTAAATATTTTTGTTTATTTTATATTGAATAATCTTTTGCAGGTGGGCAAATATGTTCGTGTCAAAATGAATGTTTCTATGGCTTGTCAAACATTAATTGAACCACCAGATGATGGCGAAATTACAAGAGATAATATCACATGTAAAATCAGCTATACTGCAAATGGTAAATTTTAATTTCTTATTGCTTATTCACTTTACTAAAATAGATATTATTCAATCAGATATATTTTTAAAAGCACTCATAACTCAAAATAATACTATGTCTATATTGGGAGGTTAGTGAGCAGGTTAAGTTTAAAATCAGCCTTTATGTTTGGCACCTCCACTGAATTTTCGATATCTAAGGTTTAAAATGAACTTTTAAAAAATGAAAAATCATTTTTCAAGCCTTCATTTTAGATTTATTTGAAAGCTAAATGATTAAATTTACAATTTCCAGTAAGTAAAATACTCTAGTGTATTTCAAATAGAAATTATATTGATTGGAATGTCAATTTTATTTTGCTCACTTTCACAGAATCGACTACAAGTGCCATTTTCTCACATTTTAATACATTTTTAAACAAAATTTAATTATCGGTTTTAAAAATATTCCAAAAATAAAATATATGTTTGCAACACTTTATTTGAGGAAAATTAGCAAATTAAAATAATGATTTGAAACAAATATTACTTACTTATAACATAAAAAAATGTGGTATACAAGCATTTGTTAACCACAGGTCCTGTTTTTCTGAAGTATTGAGTGATGTAATTGATAAGCTAAGGTGTTGACATTTACGTATGGATGACCAGAATTGACATAAATTTATGAAATCTAAGCAAACGTATTTTTTGGGGTTTTTAACTACCTAGTAATTTTTACAAATTAACATAATATTTTCAGCAATTATCTAATATTTTATTGACTTTTAGTTACTATAGACTTATGTTTGAAGAATAAAATTTAAAATACTATAAAATTTTCATAAATTAATTTTAAAATTTAATAACTGAGATTGAAATACCATGATAGAGATAACAATAATTTATGAAATGTTATGTTACTTTTATTTATTATTAATTTATATTTTTAATATATTTTTTCATTTTATTCTTTATTATTAATTATCAAGATGGTTATGAAATGTTATTTTAACTATTAAATTTTTATAGTACTTTAAATTTTATTATTAATTATATAATTGATTAAACTTTTATTTTAATTCAATACCCTAAACTATATTTAAAAGAAATTGCTACCATGTGAAAAGACTTTTGAGAATATTTTGTGGCCCTGAAAAGGGCTGTTTTGTCTTCCATTGCCTCTTCATTCGTCATCATTGCTGGGATGATTTTCAAAATGCAAGTCCTGCATAACATAGTCGGTGCCAACTTTGTATTTGTTCAATTGATAGTGATCATTGAGATATGAAATCATATAAAAAGGATTTACAAATTTAATGATATAACCAATGTATTCACAGTTGACACCATCAATTGTCCAAATATGTCTGATAGTATGGCCAACTGTGCACCCATTGAGTATTTCATGCAGGGCTTGTACAAAATCTGGATACTCAAGAAGCAAAGAAAAAATTGGTAGATCTTTTAATTTCTTCAGATTTTCTGGATCAAGGCTCTTGTCTTTTTTTCCATTTTGACATCCTTAGTCTTGATCCTTTTACCAATTTCTTCTTTGGCTTCTTGGAGGTGCATCATCTTCAGTTTAGTCTTCTGCTTGCTGTACACCAGTTCCAAGTGTAGATAGTTTTGAAAATGCTCAACATCCAGATCATCAATGAATTTCCTTACCTGATTTTGCTTGGCCTTGATGACATCACTTATACTGGATACATAAGCATTAGGCTCAAGCTTATGCCTTTCACAAAATTCACTGATGATGCTTTCAGCTAACATGGTGTGCTACCTCACCAATGTTAAGATTGACTTGGAAGAATCCTCTACCATGGTGAATGATTTTGCATACTGCCTGCTTAAAACTCCCACAATCCCTTTTAAACAGGCAGTCATCATTTGTTGAAAGATGAGTTCATTTGTGGAGGCAATCAGTAGGGACTCTATCACTTTCTTTGGTAATGGATTTCCAAAGAAGTCCTCTGTGGAGATAAAAATATGCATGGGGTCCTCAGGGGGTACCTTCAGATTATCAATGACCACTTTGACGATGCTCATTGTATTGATGGGGTCTTTTTGGGTATTTACGCTGTTGTAGAAGGTACTCATCCTAGGCCCTGATAGCATCTTCCCTATAATTCTCAGAATTTGCATCTCGACGATAACAGCTTCTTCCATAAATATCTACTGCAATGTTGTAATGATTTTATTTGTAGAGGAAAGTCTCAAGACAAATTGTTTGCTTTTTTAAAATGGGAAAGTAAGTTGCATCTAGATGAAAAAAAGACATGCAACCAATTCCCTTGGAATCTAGTGATTTTGAACCTTGTTCAATAAAGGTCCTCAATTTCAAAATAAGCCCTAATTTATCACTATATCTAAGAATTCACCATGCTAGACACTCACTCACTCACATTTGTAGCTCCCTCGCTATCTCTTCATTGTTGCAATTGTTTCTAACAGATTGCAGTACATCTCCACAAGTTTAATCCGCTACTTTTCCAATAACAAAACTGTTGAATGGTTGATAGGAGCCTGGTCTGTTAAGAAGCATTTAATTTTTGAAAGTATGAGTTTTAAACTGGCATCAACTTATGCCAGTAGACTTTAGCTAAGTTGTTGATGCAGTCACAAATATGCTGCTTGTAGTCCATCACAGTCCCTCCAAGACATTCCAGCAACACAAGATGGGAGGATGATGGTGTTGTTAATACCACACAGTTCACGTGGTTTCCATCTTATGTCGTAGAGTCAAAAACTGAAGTGCAGTTTTCTACACTTCACACAGCATTGAACGTCTTGACATTTGAAAGGAAGCCAAGTTCCTCCACCATTCTGTAAACTGTTGTGGAACTCTTTTTTTCGAAAGAGCAGTGTTCCATGAACAATGTTTTCAAAATAGATATTAACAGCCCAGAAACATGAGAAGCAGGAACTCATTTAAAAGATAGTCATAATAGTTTCCTGCTAACAATAAGATGGGAACTACTTTATTTTTTTTCTTTGTCAACTGTTTTTTAAGACTTATAATCTTACTAAATTTAGACAAAGGAATGACAGATGAAGACTAGTCAGAAGTTTCACACTACTACTGGGTAGCAGTTTCACAAGATAGGGTTGCAGCAAAAAGGGTTATAGTTGCAACTGGGGTGGTGATCAAAGAGGCAATAAAAGATGTGTCAGTAGCAGATTTAGCAACAGAATGGACCACCACTTTGTTTTTTTCAAATTCAGGGAAATTTCTTCCTACATTTCTTTTTTGTAAAATGCAAAAAGTTTCCTAACTAAATTTATTGTAATATTAGGAAAACCATTTTTGACATTTTCCAGGGTGGCCCATTGTGTTATATTTGAAAATGATCCATACTTGTTGAGAATTTTCTCAAAAATATGGCCACACACAATCTGCTCTTCATGGTTTATGCAGCTGTAATTTTTTAATATAACTTCTGCTGTCACCATCTAAAAGTTAAAAAATTGAAATAAAGATAAACAAGAAAATTAACAAATTGATTTGGAAGAATTTTTGTAATAATTAAAATATTCTTAAACAATTTTAAAATTAAATTATCTTAATAAAAAAACAATTTTTCTAAAACATTTAACATTTTTTTTAAATAAAAAAAAATTCAGTCAATTTTGCCACAATGAAGAAATACATTTCAAAATTTTCTAAAACTTATTTCAAATATGAATGAAATAAAGTATAAAAATAATTCCAAATAAAAATTGAATAGGGATGATTTAATTTAAAAAAGTAAAATTTATTTTTAGTAGAATTTGGGTTATTATCTTAAATTTACTAACTTAAACAAAAAATTACTTCATTGAAGTATGACCCAAACTAAAATAAATACATTAAATAAAAATATTTAGTGAAATATTAATTTAAAAAAAGTAAAATTTACTTTAAAATTTTGAAGGGATGATTTGCAAAGACATAAACAATGAAACAGAACTGAATAATGAAAGTGAAAGAATTTCAATTCTTAAATCATGTGACCTTTCCATAGTTACAAAATGGGAATGTTTATACAGTAAAAAAAAAAAAATTTTAATTTTTAAAAAAATATTGGGTGTAAATGCTTATTAAGCTTTTCAATTTTTGATTCATATATGTAGTTTTCACTTAACAGTATCACCTAACTGCCTTGAAATAATGCAGAATTTTACAATTTATAATATTATATAAATTTAAAATTTAAAAAAAATGAAAACAATTCCTGTAAAAATTAATTATTCATTAAAAATTTTTCTAAAGACAATAGTGTCTTTAATAAATCTTATTTATAAAAGCTTTTCTAATTAAATAATGTCAGCTTTATTGCATTTTTTATTTTACAATTCAGAGCAGGTTTTCAATGACTAGGCTAACTGTTTCACAAAAAAAAAAAATGATGATTTACACTCTCCAAGGTGTCCTGCTTTTAACTAATAAAACAAATTTTTGCCCTAAAAAATGAAATTTCTCAACATTTCATGAAATTAAGTAAGTGGCGGGTAACCTAATGTAAAAAAGAAAAAAAAATACTTTTTACCAAAATTTTCTAGATTAAAAAGAAATAAAATAAAAAATTTCAAAAATAATTTCATTCATTTGTGAATATGTCCTGAAAGTTTAATTAAAATCTGACGAATTTGATTTTTGCAAGAATTTCCAAATCAATGTGTTTTTCACTGGAGAAAAAGTGCAAAAACACCAATTGTAATTATTATGTTGACTGCTGATTTTTTAACCATTTTTAAATGTGCTGGAAAAGATTAAAAAATTTTTAAAAAAAAAAAGAAATCAAGAAATACTTTGGTCTTCCCTCTTAAAATAACATAAACATTTTGATGCTTTGTTTTTATTAAGTTTGGGGTCATTTTTCATCCTGCAAAAAGTGGAAGTACTTACTTTATGTACTTTCTTGTAAAGGTAATAACTTAAATAGTAAATTTTTTAGTTCTCTCAACTTGTTCTTTCATTCCTGTAAAAAGATGAAAAAAAATTAAAAAAGGTAGCATGATTACAATTTTTTTTTTTTTTTTTTCTCTTATTGTTGTTCTTTTTTTCTCATGTTTTACATGCAAACAATTTTAACATTACTTGACACTTTTTTCTTTCTTTTTCTCTTTAGTAAATCCTGGTGGCTGGGCTCCTGCATCAGTTCTTCGTGCTGTCTACAAGAGAGAATATCCAAAATTCTTGAAACGTTTTACCTCGTATGTGAAAGAAGTTACTGCCGAAAAAGCCATAATGCTTTAATCAGCTGTGTATATTATTGTGCGTGTGTGTTTGAGAGAGAGAGAGAGAGCATGTGTGTGTTATGCATGTGTATCTAAGAGATCTTTACAGAAGTATATGGCAAAATTTAAGAAAATACAATATGATAATGATAAAAGAAGCTAAAGGTATGAAGGGCTAACAATATACATACTCGCAAATTGTCATTCCTTTACTGGAAATTCTTGGCTGCTGGAATATTCTACACCAATTCTTACTCCCTTTCCCTCAGTTCACTTTAGGCACTCGTATATATTTCTTTGATATTCAGAATTCACAATTATGAAGTAATGGATTTGATATTCTTGGCCATATACACACACACATTTGGCTTATGACATTTTTTTTTTTTTTTCATAAATTGAAACATTTTTTATTCTACAAAATAATTTATGTGAACCACTTTGGTAATTTACGGTCATAGGCAAAAATGACTAAAATTGTCTCTGTCATAAGTACAAAATAACTGCAGTGTCAGCATCAACTGTTGCTAGAATCATAGTTAAGAGTAATTCTTTTTCATGCTAATTAAAGACATTAAATTATGATCGGCTATTTCCTGACTTAGTTTAAACAAATTCATCTACAGTTTTTGACTTTTCACCTTTGCTTGTTATAAATGACAATAGTTTGATCTGTTTTATTCAACTTGCAAAATGTTTTTGTTATCCTAATTTGTCAGTACTTTATTTTCCAATCTTTATTCTTCTTTCCATTACCTTCGCTTGTCCTTTTTGTATTTGCAGTTTATTTCTTTTCAAAACATCAACAGTATGGTAGGCGGTCCTCTCTTACCTTTGTTTATTTTCTACATTTTCACAAAAGGCTGAAAGTTATACTGAAAAATGTTGGAAATTAATTAATATTCAATGAACAAACTTGTCATGGATAATTTTGTTAATATTGTAATACTCATTCACATGTTATTAACTAACTTTATTTTTATTAGCAGTATTTTATTTTTTTTTTTTTTTTGTCAATAGTACTGCTCTACTTTATAATACACTGAGTATATATTTTGTCTCTATTATCTTTAACTGTCAATTTGGTTAGGAGGAGGAGGAGATAGGTGTTTGCAAACCTGGGTGGTAAAAAGATTCCTGAAAGAACAGAAAACGCCAACGATAATTGGAAAAATTAACATATTTGAAATGTGACATGACCTGTGAATGGATAATACCATGAAAAGATTATCTCTGAAATCTAGAAAAGACCAAAAACAGAATAATGATCAAAAGCTGTCATCATATAGCTGAACAAATGAACTATGACAATTGGATTAAAAATATATTTAACAACTCACAAAGCCTTTTAACAAAATATTCCCTAATTTTTTAATGTAAGGCCAAACTCATATTCAAATAAAATTACATATATTATCCTATTGAATTTTTCTTTTATTGTTCCAATAACAATGAATACTATTTCCAGATGAAATTTGAAGCATTTCACTTATTATTGAATAGAAAATTATCAACTAAATTTTTAAAATTTACTAAATTTCTGTTTCTATACGTTGCTTTATAATTTTATCATCTTACTCTAAACTTTATTCTACTTGAGACAGAGAAAGTCCATTCATAAGTTTTTGAGGATGTAAATAAACATTGAAATATTAGCAGAATTACTCATGATACTGGTTTGTTGAATATTTTATTAATGTCAAACATGTTTTTCAGAATGACATTCATCTTTGATAAAAAAGTTTGTTTTACATAATATTTCTATTAGAAATATAGAAAACTTGAAAATTTGATGGCATTTATTATCAGAAATTAGACTGAGCACATTTTCTCTATTTTAGATTAACCATTTAAGTTTTAATGTTTAAATTTATAAAATGTACTTACATTCTTTTTTTACAATATGGTTTTTCTCTTCACTAGCTGATAATTTTTTTAATTCTCTATTTTTGTTATTTAACAATTTCACAATCCTGATTTTTGTATTGAAACAAAACTTTACTGTAACTTTTGAAACTAATTGTTTGATAGTGTATGCCTCTCTCAGATTGGACCAGAAGAAATTTTGTCTTTCTTTTGCTTATTTATAATTCTGTTTTTAATCTACTGTTTTCATAATTTGGTTTAATTTTGCTTTCTAATGATACATATTTACTTTAGATTTTGGAATGTTTTTCTCTTTGCTGACCAGCTTCTTGCTGCCAATTGCACTTGCTTTTTGTGACTTACTTTTTACATCAGTGTTACTGCATCATATTACCAAAGGGAAAGGATTTACTGACTTCAGAAAATTAAACATTTAAAGTTTAGATTTAGAAAAATATTTTTGGTTTCTTCATTTCCATATTCTGTGGAAGGTATATGCATACACATGCGCACACACATTTGTTATTCCTGTTGCTCAGCAAACTTTATATTTGGCCTGCATCAGGCTCTAGTCAAATGTTACTGCAGCCAAGAAATGTGAATTCAATGTAAAAAAAAAAAAAAAAAAAATAATTTCTTTCTTTCTTAACCTGTTGACTCAAAACAGCTGATTTACACCTGCTGTCATTGTTTTCTTTCATTCTTTGTATATAGAGTTGATATGTCTAGCTTCTGGACACATTCTCACTCTGATCAAATACACTATCATTCTTATCTCTAATGGCAAACATACAAACACCTCCTCTATTTTAAATCACCAACTTTTAAAAGTTTCCTTATCAGTCTGTGATTTATAAGAAATGTTAGCCCTGACCTCAAGTTTTCTACTCTCCCATAAAATTTGACATTGTTTCATCTTCTGTTCAAATAATATCTGCTGTCCTCTTCACAACCTTCAAAAAAAACTACAATACAATAAATTTGGTTCTGAAATTATTTTTTCAGTTGCTTGGGGGGGGGGGGTTCTTGTTTGCAAACTGGAATACATAAAGCATCTGAAAAGAAACTAGTGGAGGTATTTTTTTTTTTCTAATAATACATAATGTTTTGAGAGTTTACTCCATATTTAAACCAAGGATGTGGATCACTGCTACTACTGTTTTGAATAAAACAAGAGAACAATGTGGTCAATGCTACTTTACCACATTATTATCACTTCCACTATTTCACTCCTTTTATTAATTCTATTGTTTAATGGTGGCTGTGATAATTCCTACAATGACAACATTACCCTAAAGCAACAAATGTATATTTTTTGGTGAAAAATGCTGTAAGTTTCTTGAAATATAAACATTCTAAAAATTTACTTGGTCTTTTCATATTGTCTTCATTTAGAATTTAATGAAATAATATTCCAATATTTTGTTACTTGAAACTCTGTTAGCTCATAGCTCTGGTTCTTGACAGTCAGTTTTCAGTTAAAAAAAAAAATTGAAATAACTCATTACTGATTTATATTTAAATATACAGATTTATGTCATGATTACAACTTGACAAGTTTGTCTATTGCTGTCATTGGCAGCAGTTTTTGGATCCATTTGGGAAATGAAGCTGGGTGTATCAAATGAAAAATGAAGTCGGTTGATGAGCGACTGCTGTTCTGCTATGTCACAATGTTTTATAATTGCAGGTGACACCTTTAATCATATATTGACTTTTCAACTTGATTATGAGATGTTATTACTATATAGTTTATCAAATCTTACAAGAGTAGCTTTCTCATCTTGTTACACTATTTGAAAAGCCATCACTTCGGCAAAAGTTACAAGCCATTAGCACTGAGTGCTAATTAAAACAGTTTAAACTGGTCAGTGAAATTTGCTCATTGAGAACAAGTTTTTAATGTTTTGTCTCTAGCAAGATAAATCTTCAAACAAGTCCACTCCCACATACCAAGGTACATATAAAAGATAATGCTCTTTTTCTCTGTCTTGTTGATCATGACATCTTTGTAATTTTTTTTAAGCAGAAATTGAATCTTAGATTATATTAAGTTTCAAAGAATGAGCAATAAGAAAATGTTAGTGAGTGATACTGAATGAAGATTTCTTTTATAGAGACATATATCAAAGTGTGACAGCTTTCAAAAGGTATCCTTTGGATTAAGTTGCCTCCAGTTTCATAAAGAAATCAGTTGTTTCTTAAAGTTGAGGGTAAATTCTATTTAGAAGAATGTTTCATTATTTTGAGTAAGATGATACTTGGTTAACCATAGGTGATTGACATAGCCTGAATCTATTTTGTGTCTTGGTGAGTCTATCTTGTAACTTTGCCAAAAGCTGCTTCTCTTTGAGGACATTTAAATATATGTAGACTGTTTTTAAAGTGGAAACTGACTCTGGGTTTATTAGTATAATTCTGATCCAGCAATACTCATTAATACCCAGTGTCTTTGAATTCCAATCAGGTTGAAAAATTACTTTACACACATGACATTGGTCATATGTTTTTGTTATCTGTACAAAACTACGAATTTTCTGGAAAGGTAACCATTGATAAAGAATGCAGTAATGATTAAAAAGAATGTAGAAGGTAAAGATAGGGAAATGGTTTTGGGAAAAGGTGAGAAAAAGCTTATTGATTAGGAAAAAAAAGCCTTGTTCATGAAATTATTAAATGGTACTGAATTTTGTGAGGGAGATGGAAAATATCTAGCTGTTTGTTATGGGCCAGTGATCAATGAAAACTGTTGTCAATATATTCAGGATCACAGACTGACTAAAATCAGATTTCTGAGTTTTCACGTGCATTGTTCTAGAATGGGGGTCACCAAACTTTTTTCACAGAGGGTCAGATAACTTAGAGAATGACTAGCATGGACTGGATAACCATTTTGTTCAATATAATACACTGAAAACACAAAACATAAAGTCAATAAACATTTATTTACCAAAAGGTTATCAAAGAAGGCGACAATAGCAGTAAAATAGTTATCACACCAATTGCACACATATCTGAATCTCGCAAACTAAGCAGTAAATAAGATCATTGAGATTTGTGAAACTGTCATTTACCTTTTAAGCTATTTACTTTGGAATTACTGCAACCAAGAGAATTGCTTTCAAATATTATCAGTCAACTTTGTTACATGTG